CTTAACACAACAACATTCACCCCTAATCCAGATTATTATAGGTTGGTATCATCAAATGTTTCTCTTAATTTACATTTTGATTCAGTCTTTGAAATTGTTTTGGTTGGTATATTATGAACGTTTCATCTACATCTCTAACTTATTGCTCTCTTCCAGTGCCCTGCTGTGGCATCGCCTTATGGGAAAAAGAGTACTGTCTGCCACCCACCAAGGCTCACCGCATTTGCGTGTGTATTCTCATTGTACAAGGCAAAAGGTGATTTACATAACTTTTCATGTTCTTCATTAAAAAAAAAAAATTGCGTGGTCTGCCCTTAAACAGATATATTCATGTTTACATTACATGTCTGATAATCATCTTCATGACACTGTTTGACATGATTGTTACAGACAAATTTTGTTTCTGTTGTTAGTATGATTTTCGTGACCATTTTTTTTTTTGCATTTTACAGCCGAGCATTACTCTAGTTCTGATTAACATGGCAAGATCCACGTCATTCAACATAACGCTTTTCAACGATGAAAACCTATATTTGGACTCCGTAAATCAGGATTCAGCCTCCAACTCAAATTTCAAGGGTTACCAACCAAGAGAAGAGTACCACTTGACTCCCAAAGATGGCAACATTCGCAGTGATGTGGTTCTACTTAATGGAACTCCATTGCAGCTCACAGAATCGTTGGACATTCCTGCAATGAAACCAAAACTAGTGGATGCTTCTTCTCCACTCACGGTTGCCGCTGATTCTATAGTCTTTGTAACAATCAGAGACTTTCATGCCTCTACCTGTGCTTAGAACAATTTAGTTCCCTATTCTTTTGAGCCCCAATGCTAGAATGTTATGCACGTATCAATATTGTTAAATGAAACAAACTTTTATCAAGAGAAAAAAAAAAAAAAAAGGGTTAAACATTTGAACAAATTGATGAGACAAATTTTATTTGAATTCATCATGACCATTTTGGGACACTGATAATGATACAAAATCCACTACTAATCTTAATTAACCCAACAACCCAAAAACTAGTAAAACTCACTTCTCCACATGAGTCATTTTATGCATATTATTTGATCTAGAATCTAAAAATGACCAAATACCAATGGCACAGTGATAGTTATTTATTACTTAATTCCATGCCTCTTTCTTATCTGCATAACAACCTCGTAAGTCTTGAAGGGGTCACACAGAGATTTGGACACACTCTCTTTTTGCATGCATCTGTTGGCCCATGCCACCAGCTTGGGGCACTCTGCTTTCATGCTGAAGTTTCCAAACTTCTCTAATGTGTAGAAGAAGGTAGAGAATGGAATAAGAGATATGTCGACGATGTTCATGGTTTTGTCCCCAAAGTAAGGTTTGTCCCCAAGCTCTCCTTCCAATGTCTTGAAGCACTCTAGCAAGTCCTTTGTTGTCTCCTCAGATTTACCTTCGGATGTCCAGAATGAGCGTCCTATAGTATAAATCTACATGATAATTGATACAATGATACCCAATTAGATCACATGTCTAAATAAGGGAAGCAGGATGAGTCCATTATTTCTGGGCTTGTTTATGATCTATTGCAAAGTTAGAGGACTAATGTGCTAACAAAATAATTTTAGGGGAAAAACTGATAACTACCTGAAATTTCAAGGGTGCGATTTTTTGTTTTGTTAAAGTGAATATTGGAGTATAAGGATAGTTTTGCTATTGCCTACTGGGGACTAAATTAAAATCACTATAAAGGCCAAGGACGAAACTTCATAAAAACAAATAAAAACTATATACACAATTAAACCAACCTTGTCAACATAAGCAGCCCAAAACCTGGCATGAGCTCTCTGGTGAGGATCAGAAGGCAACAATGGAGATTTGTGATTCCAAATCTCATCAATGTACTGAACAATGATAAGAGATTCACATATGGGTCTCCCCTTATGGATCAAGACAGGAACTTGCTTATTAACAGGATTCATCTCCAGAAGCAAAGGGCTCTTGTTGCTCAAGTCCTCTTCCTTTGACTTGAACTCTACTCCCTTCTCTGCCAAAGCTATCTTCACCCTCATTGCAAAAGGACTTGGCTGCAAATCTAGTAAAATCACTTCCTTATCCATTGCTAGCTGCTAGATTTTATTGTTGTTGGGTTTAATGAATTATTGCTCTGTCAATGTAGCTATTTATAGCTTATTTTAGTATAGATTTCTTTATCTACAAGCCATATTGTTTTGTCATTGCTTGCGTAAGATTAAATGGATGACAGGCTTTTTTTTAATTATATTCTAAGTTGTGGTCGATTACCATTTGTCCTGGTCAAGTTCAAGGGCGGCTGGGAGTCGAAAGAGAGATTGTTTGAAAAAGTCATCATAGAATATCGGTTCTGATGAAAAATCATGACACCCAAACTGGATACTGTAGGAAAATATATTTTGAGGAGGCGGTGCTCAAATTTTTGGGTTCATAGTCCGCAGTGCAAAATAGTCCGCATGCTGATTTGCTGTCTTATTATGCAAATGAAATCTTGGGGTTGTTCATAAAAAAACTGCATGAACCACTCATATGGAACAGTAGTGTCCTCGACCTCTTTCTAAATCTTTCAAACCTTTTGTCTCTTGCATTCCATAACCTAAGTAGGGTTGTAAATGAAAATAAGTGAACACGATCAAGCTCAACTAAAATCTTTCAAGACACTCGAGCTCAAAATTTAATAGCATAAAATTTTATTAATTTGTTAAGTAAAAAAATATTCACATTAAAAAATAATAGGAAACATATATTATTTACATAGACAATAATAATTGATACATAATTTAATTCAACATATATATTAAAAATTATTATTTTCATATTTTTTTTAATAGCAAAAGTAATATTTATCGAAAAAACTAAAGTACAAGATATACTTCAAACCCATAAACATCTCAACTTGAAAGGCATAAATTTACATATAGTCGAATATCCCTTCCGTTTGGTGTTGATACCAAAATTATGTGTCAACACCACGTCCGTGTCGAGATTCTGGATGCTCCATCCTCCCGTTTGGTGTCGACACCAAAATTATGTGTCAACACCACGTCCGTGTCGAGATCCTGGATGCTTAGCCCTCCTGTTTGGTGTCGACACCAATGGTCCCTTCCTATGAATTCAGTTATTTAACCTGGAATTGTCACCTTGTTTTGCCTTCTTCTTGCTGCAGCACCTCTTAAGCAAGAAGTGGGTGAGTGCAGCACCTATGAATTCAGTTGTTCAATTATTTTCATATTTGAATTAAAAGCATAAAAACTTAAAGTTACAAATTTTAGTGGCTAAAAAGTAAGTGTTAGAAAGGTATTAAATCAGATAATGTCTTACACCGAAGGGTATAACAATCATTTTTTTATTTAAACATAACACGATCTTCTTTATCTAACTAATTAATTTAAAATTAGATGTTCATCTTAATAAACCCTAGCTACCTACCCTTCCCCTCTTCTCTCTCCCTTGCCCAAATACTCTCCCTCCTTCCTTGCTTTCTCTTTCTTCCCTAGTCATCACCTCTCTCCTTCTCGGCAATTAGGGTAAAGGAATATAGGTGGGAGTTTCGCTCTCCTTTGTGAGGGTTCTTTCGTCTCCCTTTTATAAGGGTGTTTGTTTAGGTTCTCTCAATATTTTTCATTGAGTTTTGCTTTGGTTTAAAGAGGATGGCTGCAAGGTGGTGGAGATAATTAGGCTTGAACTGATTGTGACACTTATTTCGACTATGGGTGGTATGGTTGGGAGGCTAACAAAGACTCAAACTCTCTCTTGAATTAATTTAGGCATGGTTTTGATGACCCTTGGAGGAGACTCCAACTCCCCTCTAAACTAGTGCATCTCCTCTTTGGTACAATATTCAATAGGTGAGAATTGTTGTTTGTCAAGCTATCTACTCTCCCCAAGAAGTTGGCATAATAGTTGAAAATGTTTAATAACTCAAGATACTCATGGTAACCTTTTTTTCTGCATTAGTATGTAGTTTTGTTTTTCCCCTACATCAATTGTTATTGTAGTTTAAAGGTACAAATGGTTCTCTATATTTAAATGTCTATATCCATCACAAATATAATGTTGTAGGATATGCTTCTCCTTAGTTAAAAACTGCAATATATAGATTCATATGTAATATGTAGAGTTAAATAAGAGGTATAGAATTTTTTTAAAACAGTAAAAAATGATTATTATTTATAATTCTAAATATAGGGGTAACCAACCCGTTATACAGAGCATCAATCATTTTAGTACATTGTTTATGAAAAACTATCACCAAGATATTAAATTTTGACAACAACCCAAACATGTCAATGATTTGTTCCACTCGCCATGCCACGTTCAAGGCAACCCACTGGTTCAAGCATCCAGTCAAATAACTAAATAAGCAACATCTTGATCTACCTTTGATCCAAGGGAAACTCTTACTTTGAACCAAATTAAAAAAAGTCGTTTGCAATTTAAATTATATTAGATTATAAAATAATGGATTTTTTAAAATAAGGTATAGAAATTTTATTAAAATAATAAGATTGAGATTACATATTCTTTTTCCATGACGAGATTACATATTTTTTTTTATCTTGAGTTTACAATGAAAAACAGTATTTTTATGTCAGTGACTGGAATTTAGTACAAACTTATATGCTAATTAAATAATATTTGTTCACTTTATTTGTTGAATAAATAACAATGGTATACCATCAATAATGCTAAGTTATTGAAGAATATTGGCCTTTAATTAATTGATCCTTCCATGCACAAGCAACAACACCTACGAATAATTCGAATCCGAAGACATAAATTAAAGGTTTTGTCAATTCTGTACTTAAAGCCTAATGATATAGGTTAAAAGTATAATAAGTTTATTTTTTGTAATTAATTTTATAATAAAAAATAAAGATTTATTTTTATTTTAGTACCACTGTCACTTATAAAATTTTTAATTTGCTAATTAAATAAATTAAAGTCCACATTTATATTTCACAT